TTTAAGGGTTTTTCTTTGGTGTTTTTTTAACGGTTAACACCAAAAGTTGAGTGTATTTTTCCATAAGGGTGGATGACATGAAACAGATAGAATTAGTTTATAAAATCGACTGTTCAGACTGCGACGCGACGTATATAGAACAAACAAAAAAACATCTCGAAACTCGAATTAAGAAACATAAATCTGCAGACATAAGAAAGCACGCCAGTAATCATTCAGTAATAAGCAAACACTAGCTTGAATTAAATTATGAGTTTAATTGGTCTAATTCAACAATTTTACATAAAGAAAAACATGTTAAAAAGAGAGAAATCGCCGAGATGTTTTTAATTAAAAAACACAATCAAGCGATCAACCTTCTTCTTCAAAAGGACACAGAGAACCTGACAGCAATATATGACAAAATAATAAGGGCTACATAATCAATCTCTATTTGTCATCATAAACTATTATTGTTTATTAGATTTTGTTCATTGCGTGTTGTCCGTTACTGAAGTGTGTGCTTCCCCTGACACAATCAATTTTTACTTAATTGACCATGTTTTATCACCACATAACGCACGAAGCATGTACATAAGTTAGGAATTTTTTTTCTTTTTAACCATGAACTCATTTAGTTATTCGTAGTTTAAACAAATTTCGTTCCGTTTCTTTCTAGTCTTTAGATCTGACTTGCACATTGCCGTGACTAACAAATGTCTTCGTAAGAATATGTATACACTTGAAAGGGACTCGAATTAGAGTCAAAACGTCGTGCTGACTTATTAATAAAATTTACTAGCTATAGGCAAAGAAGTCTCATTACTGTTATCCACTGGCGAAGAAAATTTTCCTCGTGGTTTAATTAAGTCCCACTCGGCATGTAATATTTCAGAAACATTTCTGCAAAATTCTATTTGAAATATTACACCTTTCATCAATATTTCAGAAATATTTCACGACCGTTTCTGCAACATTTCAGCAATGTTTCAATCGGCACAATTATTTCAAATGCAACTTTGCTGAAAGATTTCGGCAATATTTCGGTAATATTACTGAAATATTTCTGAAATATATCTACGAAATATTGTAGAAACACTTCAGAGATATTTCAAATACATTTTACACTGAGAAAAATGTTTTGTATTAGCAAACAAAATTTTGTTACTAACGTAAAAACTATTTGTTGATATGTGAAAAATGAAATATTTTGTTACCGGAACAAAAAAAATATATTAAGCCATGTGCGTATAGCCGCCGCGCATTTGTCCAAAGAAATCTGCTCTCTCAGCCGGTCACCCATCCAAGTAGTATACCGCCCAGTAAGCAAGGAACATTAAATTAACGTTTAGAAATATTGACTTTATGTGTATTTTTTAAACGTTTTTTAATAATATTATACACATATTTGAAAAATATTATTTCGTAATATGATTTTTCTGAATGTTGTTAAAATATTTTAAAAACATTACAGAAAATATTTTTCAAATGTTACTCTGACATTTATTTGAGATCAATGCAACAGTTTAAAGTACCTTGTAATTTGGACTTGGAAATAACGTTGGTAGTATATTAATTTTCTGTTATTAGAATGTTATTGTTTTATATTGTACGCAACGCTCATCGCGACAGCCATGATGCGTACATTTACGTATGTACAATGCGTGAGTGCGTATACACGCGTGTGGATCGAGCAGTGCGGAGTGCTCTTTATTTAGAGTATATTTATATATAAGTAAGTAACTATTATATTCTAAAAGTTGTATATTAATAATAAGAACTCAATTAACCATACGTGCTATGAATAGTAGTTGATATGATTATTTATAACCTATAATTTAGGTTAACTACAAATAAACGTTCTTTGGGTATCGGTAGAAGCTATATAGTGGAATTATTGGTAAATCTGAAGAATAGTGGCCTCCTCACCGATTTCGTTCAACTTGGGCTTAATCGACGCGTTTTTGCACGAAACGACCGAATCTGGCAGAAAAAAGTGTCGCTCTGCCCCGCGAAGCAAGATATTAACGGTTAAAGTTGGCGACTATCAGGTTATGAGACCTGTCATACCGACGCAATGTAGCGACTGGTAGCGACCACGAACATGCCCTGTGGCCACATGCGCATGCTCCGTAGCCGCACGCGCATACAAAAGAAGGTCACGTGACAACTGTCTGCTTGGTAAGTACATATTTATGTGTACTTTTCACATACCAACTATTCTCTGCTTTAACAAATTATTTATGTTTTGTTAACTTAAACGCTTAATAACTGTAACAGAAATAATTTGTTAAAGCAGAGAATAGTTGGTATATGAAAAGTACATGTAAATATGAACTTTTCATATACCAACTATTCTCTGCTTTAACAATTTTATTTCTGTTTCGTTAACTTCAACACTTAATATCTGTAACATAAATAATTTGTTAAAGCAGAGAATAGTTGATATATGAAAAGTAAATATTTATGTGTACTTTTCATATACCAACTATTCTTTGCTTTAACAAATTATTTATGTTTCGTTAACTTAAACGCTTAATATTTGTAACAGAAATAATTTGTTAAAGCAGAGAATAGTTGGTATATGAAAAGTACATGTAAATAAGCATCTCGATTCAAGCAGTTAGGTCTCACGCTGGGAGTTTCATTAGTTTAATTATGCGTGGGAAGCACACACACAGGAGGGTGCGAGGGAGGGCCTTCGGCCCCCCCTCCCCCGCACCCATCCCGTCGGTAGGCAGCGTGGACCTCGCTTTACAACATAAAGTACATGCTAAGTTGTAAAGCGAAATTATAAAGCACATGCATGGAGGGGTGCAAGGGGGCTTACATGCGTGAGCCCACGTGAACAGAAAGGCTTTTCTCCCCTGCACCCTCCCCCATGCATGTACTTTATAATTTTGTTTTACAACTTAGCATGTACTTTATGTTATAAAGCGAGGTCCACGCTGCCTACCGACGGGGTGGGTGCGGGGGAGGGAAGGGGCAAAGGCCCCCTCCTCGTACCCCCCCCGTGTGTGTGTGTGTGTGTGCTTCCCACGCATAATTAAACTAATGAAACTCCTAGCGTGAGACCTAACTGCTTGAATCGAGATGCTTGGGTTATTCTGCACGATTGATTCATTTAACATTTGCGCAGTTTTGCATGCGCGTGCGGCCACTGAACATGCGTATGTGGCCACAGGGCATGTTCGTAGTCGCCAGTAGTCGCTACAGCTCGTCGGTATGACAGGAACTATAACCTGATTCCTGTCAACTTTAACCGTTAATATCTCGCTTCGCGGGGCAGAGCGACACTTTTTTCTGCCAGATTCGGTCGTTTCGTGCAAAAACGCGTCAATTAAGCCCAAGTTGAACGAAATCGGTGAGGAGGCCACTATTCTTCAGATTTACCGAATTATTTGCTATTTTCTTGCAATTTACTGCCGATTATTTTTAGCTGTTTGAACGCGTCGAGATCATGAGCAGACGCACGCTTGTCGCGACAGCCCATCGGAAGCAGTAATAGTTCTGGAGATTGTAGTCGCATTATCTTACATACGTATGATGCGTGAGTGTGTCATATATACGTACGTTTGTGCTTGTGCTGTCGAGCGCTTTTAATTGTATACAACATTTTTATATGAGTAAGTAATTATTATATTCTAAAACTTGCATATTAATGATAAGAACTTAATTATCTATATGTGCTGTAAATAGGTAGCTGGTGATTCAAGATCTATTTTTTGACCTATATAAGAGAGAGATTTGCAGAAGAAAAGAAATATACCAAAGTATTAAGGATCAAACATATTCTTGATGTATGTACTCGGGCCGCGAGACTGAGCAATATTCTAAGGAAAGTATTATACAATTGTATCGTTTTATATTGTGCGCAACGCTCATCGCGACAGCCATGATGTACATGATTATCTTACATACGATGCGTGAGTACGTATACACGTGTGTCAATCGAGGAGTGCAGAGTGCTCTTTATTTACAGCATATTTATATATAAGTAATAATTTATATTCTAAAAGTTGTATATTAATGATAAGAATTCATTTAACCATACGTGCTATAATTATTTATTGTGCTATGAATAGTAGCTGGTGATGTAGGATTCATTTTCCAATTTACAAGAGAGATTTACAAAAGAGAGGAAATATCAATTAATTTTTTTATGTTCTATAATAGATTTGTCCTTGGACATTAAAAATATCATCAAGGTTCGTCAATGCTATTATTTCAATGGTACCAAACAGTGTAACTTTCTATAAAATAACCTCAAAATTTGACGAAATATGTAAATGATAACGTATAAAGCTGGTACACTATGCATGAAGACGATTTGTTAAAGTATTGTACGGCTTTAATACATCATTGTTTGCATGTACCACTGTAAGAGTAATTTAGTATAAAATTAGGGTGCATTCGGGGAGACGCTATTAACGCTATAAACGCAAACGCTATGAACTTCGTTCGAAGAGCCAATAGCGCGACAGCGATAGCAAGCTGCCCGAATGCAGCTTAAGCGTCAATAGTATTTCGTGCCTCACCTCGAAAATAATAGCGAAAATAGCGCGAGTGATGACGTCACGCTGCCTTTACAGTGACGTCATCATCGTATATCACAGCGCCACAAAGCGTCTCCTCGAACAGTTTTGGACGATAATTGTGCTAATAGCGTGCTCCCCGAATGCACCCTTAGTATAAAGTTGATAGATGTAACAAACGATCAGTACAAACAAGACCAAAACTGACTTGTTATTTATTTCTATATTTTTTCACATATATGTGCTATCGCACTCTAAAGTATATAAATATATTATTGTAAGCGTATTTTATATGTACAGGGCAATAAATATGTCTTAACATATGGGATCAATTGTTGTATCAAATTCAAAAAACCACCATTTGAAAAATTTGACCCTGGCTAAGATAAACATCAGTGAACAATATATTATAAGGAAAACTCTGTACAAGATACTAGAAATGCTAAAACATGATCAAGAAGCTTTTACACAAGTTGTAAGTAAAGCTGCTTATTATAATTAAATTATATATATATTAAATTACAACCTTTTTCTTATCTAAACTATATTGAATTCTTCTTGTTTTAGAGGCTATTAGACAACAATTCCTTGTAATACAGAGAAAGACTTGGAACACTTTATAATGGAATGGCTTAGATTTGCAAACATCCGTAAATAAAGAAAAAAATCTTAAAAGGTAAAAAAGTAACATAATGTATTTATGTCTGTTAAGTTAGCACCCCCCATAAAAAACCGGAATAACACATATGCAGAAATTAAGTGCTCTTCATGCGTTAATTATATGTGCTCTATTCACGATTTTTGTGCTCGAGCGGTTTTGTGGAAAATTGCAATTGAAACTGGGGGTGCTGGCTTAACGTAAGCTAGCACCCCCACTCATTAAAATTACATATAAAATAAAAAACTCATTATGCTAGAATTATGTGCTTTTTATGTGCTTTCAAATGCCTCAAACAAAATTAGTCTATCTGTAATAGTTTAAAAAATATACGCAAAAAAAGATCTATATACTATACTGATATAAGAGTAAAGTATCAGTTAAAATACAGAAAGCGTAATAATTTTTGTCTTAAAATGTTTCTTGATTAATGTGTTCTCGAAATATGCACAATGAAATTTTTGTGCTTATCCCCTTTGACCGACTTGAACGTGAACACCCCATACGTGCAAAAGTAAAGTACCAGTTAAAATACAGGTAGCAAATTGGTTTTGGTCTTAAAATATTCCTCAATTTATGTGCTCCCGAAATATGCACAATGATTTTAAAAGCATAAAAATCACATTAATTTTTTTTGTTAATGTAATTTTTTGATACAAATTTTTTTAATAAACATAATTATATATGTAATATCTAAATATTCTATTACCGTATTCTTTTGTACATCATAAAACAAATATATCTTTCAAGTATTAGTCGCGCAATTGTAGCGTGAACTGCACTATCATTCATGTAACATTATCATAAAAAACAATACACAAGAGATTCTATATAAATACAAATTAAAGTTTACTAAAGAGTAACTAATTTTGAAAATTATATTTTGTTTCTATTATTAGAAAGAGAATGTTAAAAATTAGTTAAACATATGTTTACTTATATGTATTTATATATTGTTCAGAATCTCAGTGAAAAATTCTCCATAATATTTAGCAACTTTGCAATACTTACTCATAACTCATATTAAATAACTTTAAAAATGTATACAAATACATATATTTAATTTTATAAATATTAATATAATTATATTACTTATATACAAAATTATATTTTACTTGTATACCTCAATTCTTCCTATCTATTCCTGCATGCACTTCTTCCATTTACTCTCTATCAAATATTTGATACTGATAATTATCCCACGTTTTGCTAACAATTTTACATATATAACAATATTTATGTAAAAAATACAACATTTAAAAATTTTTCTGAAATCTTATTAAACAAGTTAATCAATACATTAACCAAAACAAAAATCTTATTCTGTTTATTTTGAAAACACATAAATTGAGGAACATTTTAAGACTAAAACCAATTCGCTATCTATATTTTAACTGGTACTTTACTCTTGTACGTATGGGGTGCTCACGTTTTGGTCGGCCGAAGAGGATGAGCACAGAAATCTCATTGTGCATATTGTTGTAATCTGAAATTACAACGGGTAATTATTAAATTATTTATAATAAAATTATAGAATAGCCTTTCCAAAGACTTCGAGGAAATTGTCTTTCGAAAGACTCCTCAATTTACGCTGACGCGGACGCGGAAGTTCATCAAGCTTCCGCGTCAATCGAACTATTGCGAGATGCATAGGAATGTGCGACAACGCATTTCGACAATCGCGGAACCGCGGGAGTACAGCGAGATTGCGAATGCGCTCGGTCACTGACCGACCTCATTCGGGGGACCGTCAAACCCGGCAGAAAAATGCCGACAGGGCATAACTCAAAGCAATATAAGGGACCGTCGAAGAAGCCGCGACGGAGAGTAATACACCGGAGACTCTGCCCGTGACCGTTCTCGTAAGTCGTGTCGCGAAGTTCTACATTATAACAAAGCGCGTGCGAGATATAATAATTGTGAAAGGCAACTACAAGTGTAAGTTAGTGAGTGTAACAGGAGCGCTGAAATAAAGCTCCAATATAAAGTAAAACGAAGTGAAGTTCATTTAACGACGCCTACACCTTTTGTTCTACCTGCGAACCCGACCGCTTCCTAGTCTGCCCGCCTGTGCCTACCGAGTCCCAACTCGTAAGGTCAAGATATCCCGAAAATAATAAACGTTTTGCCGTAAGCCGTCACCAATCGG